AGTCATTCCCTCCCACGTTATCAAAGAGTATCATCATATTATTGCATCAATTCAAAGCAGAAAGCCTCATCACTTAAACCTAAATCCCATTATCTCACCAGCTCAGAGACCAAAATCTGTTCACCTAAATCTAATTTTGAAAGAAGTTGAGCTTGACTAAGATCAACTATTAACTAGCAGAGACAGGATTCAAACACAGGTAATTTGGTGCTACGGCCAGTTGTGTAACACATACGGTGCAATATCCATGCTATGAAGTAGTTATGATGATTGCACTCATTGCATAGATGATAAATCTAAGGCAAGTAGGAAAAGATTGCAAAGTTAGTAAGGATCCAAGGCTGTTGGTTTATCCAGATTGATCTGATTGAAAACCCCATGCATTCTGACAACAAAGCTTTTAAATGTGGAACTTACTGCTTCTCATAGTGATAGTCAACAAATGCTTGTTGCCTGACCACCACATTGTACAGTTTGCAGGTCAAAATATTAAATAATGTATATCACATCTTCACTCAACTATTTTATACTGCAGTGTTTATTTTCTATTTTCATCATATCTCAAATAAAGAATCTTTATAACCATTACTTTATCTAAGATGAAATAGCAAAAGAAATGTTTGGAAATCAGACAAACAAATACACTAAAACTATATATACTTTGCTACAAAATTTACTCAAAAAATAGTGCTACAGACTTTTATTTGGTTAATCTAGGTCTTGAAAAATAATCGCCTATTCTGGATATTATACTAGCTGGGACGGATGTCTAGTTAAAAGTTGAGGATAGACCACATACCTTAATCTCCTCTATCTACTAAAATCAGAGTAAAAGAATAAAAGTATATGTGTGTGTGTGTGTGCATGGAATGAGAATGTGAGCAAAAATGGATGATAAATCTCAATAAAAAAATGGAAGATAAAAAGTGTATAAAAACATTGTAATTACTTTATAAAATGAAAGAAGCTAAAACCTTTGTTGGCAGCAATATGAAATCGGGGCATTAAGGACAGAAAAGTTAAAAGTCCCCCCTCTTCACAAACCTCCAAAAGCTCATCACTTGGTAGCACCAGGTACCACAAAAGACAAGGTCAAGACTGCCTACAACAGCCATCTTTCAGAAAAGCTGGACTCCCAAGCACACTCAATCATTACGTACTGCCAGAGACTTCTCCCAAACCTGTAGGAGACATATTAAACCAGACAGCTTCTAGAGTCTCGATTCAAGGCCATCTGGAATTGGAGGGAAGTGAGAAGTGTGGGACTGTGAACTAGGGGATTAAAGTCGAGCTACTAAGCAATGAGAACCTTAGCACCCATTCTCAGCAGCTCTTACGCTGAACAGGTCTACATACTCTGCAGAGAAGCTTTTCAATCAGCAAGCACAGGACTCCGACTCCAAACACACAGAGAGTGTTTTAGTGCCGTCTTTTAAACTATGAATTTGTAGGCGTGGGTTACCAGGAGTTAATTAATTAGTAGATGGCAGATAATACTATAAAATATATAACATATGCTTATAGATAATAGATAATAACTTATATTATAAAACATATTATATAATACTTACATACTATTATATAATTAATATCTTATATATTATAAATTATATTTACTACATTACATACATATTATCAATATGTACAATGTACTGTTTTAAGTGCTGAGTAAAATAACCTTATTTATTTATTTATTTTAATATGTTTTTATTGACTTTTCTAAATTTTGTTTTTCTTTATTGATTGTAGAGAGAGAGAAAGGGAAAGGGAGGGAGAGATAGAAAGATCAATGAGCAAGAACATTGATTGACTGCCTCCTGCATGCCCCGCACTGGGGATTGGTCCCACAACCTGGGCATGTGCCCTGACCAGGAATCAAACCGGAGACCTCTTTGTGCATCGGTTAACACTCAACTACTGAGCCACACAGGCTGGGCTGTTTTTATTGACTTTTTAGAGCGAGAGGAAGGAAGAGAGAGATAGAAACATTGATTGGCTGCCTCCTGCACAACCCCCTACTGGGGGTCAAGCTGGCAGCAGAGGCTTGTGCCCGGATGAGGCTTAGTCCACGGAGCCACACCAGCCAGGCAAAATAACCTCTACTTTAATGAAGCTAGTCTTAGGGGAAAGTCACAAAATGGGGAACTATCAAAAACAGTAAAGATAACAAAGAAACCATCAAAAGCAAAAATAATACCGAAAAAAAAAGATAAAAACTTAAAAAATATTATTGGTAATATTATGAAGAGATTAAAAATATCTAGGGTGCATAAAAAAATAGGGACAATAATAAAGAGAAGCATTTGAAAATTAATAATATAAAGAAATATATTTATTAAATCAATATAAGTTTTGAAGGATAAGAATAATAATGTTAGGATATAGTAGAAAAAATAGATGAATCACAGAAAAGAAGAAATAAGAAAAATATTGATAGGAGTTTGATGATATGTAGACATTTGAGAAAATTAGCTCTATGTATGACAAAATATAAGTAAATTAAACCAAGTCAATCATTAACTACATGAAAGAACATTAAATGTGTAAGGAATTATGATTATATAAAATTTTGGGCTCAACTAGAAATATTCAGAAAATCAAATAATGTTAACTAGTGCTTGAAACAAAAATTGTGATAGAATTATAGTAAAAAATTTTAAGGAATAGAGGCAGGTATGGAGTATGAGAGCTAATATCAAACTATCATTATAACAGAAAGTCAATACATAACACCTAAAATATGTAAATCAGGACAAATCAGTATATGTATTATGCTGAAAAATATGGACTTAATACAACAAAAGAGACAATAAGAAAATAGAGATGCTGAAGGTGGTTGCTCTAGGAAGTGAGATTGATACATCGACAGATGGAGAAGACTGAGGAATGTTATGTTTAATCAAAAGCTGTTTAGACTAATGTCTTAACTTCATGTATAACTTTGACAGAAAACAAGCACTGATTACACATTAAGGGTAACACATCAATTAAATTTTTTTTTTCATCAAACAGTCTTGAGGAAGATTGAAAGGGAGCAGACAATTCTTGCACCTAACTGGATAAATGCCTAACTAACCAGGACCATGGCAATCAGTCTACATTATAAAAAAGTCTCACTTACCTATCAGATCCTTGAATACAAATTGACTTCAAAAAGAATTATAAGTCTGTTCAGCGGAGAATAATAGTTTTAAAAAATCACAGTGGTAACAACGAGTGGATTGAAGCCCTGCATTCGCCATTAATTCTGTGTGATTTAGGGTCAAATATTTAATCTGTTTCAGTGTCCTCAAATATAAAATAGAGAATATAATGTAGCTTATAGTTCATAGAGTTTTAGAATGATTAAATGGAGTAGTATTTCTAAAGAGCTACCAAGAGCACCTGGTAGGTCGTATGTTCTCAATAGATGCTAACTACTATTATTATCAAGGAACTCCTGAATTCTGACCCCTAACAGGAGGCCTCCTAAGGTGGCTGTGTTAGCCCTTTGATATTCATAGGGTTTCGGATAGAGGACTCACTGCCCAGTGCACTCGGGTGGTCGAAGGAGAAAGCAAGGGGAAAGTAGGGCTGTAGCCCTTCTTCTAGTTCCTCTGGCTTCTCTCTCTTTTACCTTCTGATGGCACTTCACACAGACAAGTGAAATTTCCCAAATAAGTAGTTAAGGAATAAAACGTTTATGTTTGTATTTAGTACCATGTGGGGGAGGGGGAGAGAAAAGGCATTGATGCTATTATTTATAACCAGATATTTATCTTTTGGGACATTAAATGGAAGAGGCTGAGAAATAACTTCTTGGTTGTTAGTAGCAGATGAAGCACCAGTAGTACCCTGATTCTGTGATGTCCACAGAAAGCTTTTCATGTTTCCGCTTTTTACAGAAATCTACAAAGAGAAAGAGAAAGCTACTTCACTAGTCATCTACTTAAAACCTTTTCATTTTCAAATCAAGGGAAGTTTCCAAAATCGTATTAATTAAAAAATAATAATAACTCTCTCGCTAATGCTCCTGTTGGATGAATAAAGAAGGAGTCCAATTTTGAGCCCAGTTTTTATCCTCCATTGTGTACACACCACAATGCATGAGTTATAGCTCATTAGTGATCTCGGCAAGGGCCATCATTTTTAAATGATCAAAGTGTTTGGGGAGAAATCAGTCACATAGAGTAATGGTTCCCAAACTGTGATCCTGAGCATTTAGGAGAGAATCCTCTGTGGTTCACTTAAGAGACATTTTTAAGGAAGATGTGAACGCTGATAAAATATAGGATCAAGTGGGAATGTTTTGAAGATAAAGAGACATAGAATGGTCATTATATTGGTTTAGGGACAGGGATTTGAACTCAGTGGTAGTCCGATAATGAGGAATAAAAACCTTAAATCATGGCATATAAAACGAGTGCAAAATAAACCTAAGAATCAATGATTTAGGTTATATGCTAAAAGGAAATTTTTATAATTTAAACAACTTTTGTAATATAAACTCTGCAAATAAAAACTATATAGCTACATTTTAAAACAGAAAACTTTAACCTAATGTTTTAAAAATAAAAGTCTACAACATGTAAGGCATATTTTTACTCTTTGAAGATAGAAATAATTTAAATAGAGATTGTTAAATTTTAATCATAAACAAAGAAAATAAATTTTTGTTCCTATTACATTTGTTCAAACTTCCTCGGTCATTTTTTATTTTACCATTGATTTGAATTTTCTCAGTTAGCCACAATGAAAGACACACCCCAATCAGCATCAATAAAAAAGATGAGTAGGGAATCATTTTTGAAATATTGGCCAGAAGCTAAACAGCTTAATGGCAAAGTTCCTGAAGGGATATAAAGAACATTCTTTACTGGAGTTTGGTGGGGTTTTTCTCAGGAAACAGGACATATGAATTTGATATCTCAGTTTAAATAAGAAAAGGAATAAGATAGGGGATAGAAGGTCTTGGTGAACCTAATGAATTTGGGAAAATTATTAAAATACATATTTCATACCTTTCTTATAAACTTGGGATAGAATACTTTTTCTCTTCATGTTATGAGACATCATTTAAAAATTCTGTTTAGGAGAAACTGCTTCCATGTGATTTATGAAGTCCTCCTGATGATACTGACAAAGGATAAATAGATTTCCTACAACAGCAATTAATAATGGGGGTCCACAGTGCATGGTGAAGAAGACAAAATTCATTCTAAGCATCAAACAAGGATATTTCTAGAGAAAGGATCTCAACTGTTTTTGGACCTCCAAACATACGTGAAGAAAAACACATCTGTAAGTAAAACTGTTACTATTGCAGTGACTACAGGCATTAGGTAGCACACCTAGAAGATACTACAGAATCTTTGAGGGGAACACAGTGTGAAAAAATCTCCCCTGTAATTATGCTTCAACCCTGATCCTGCATTAAAGATCCACTAGAGACCCGAAAGTTCAAAGCAAGGGAAAATACAGAAAACGTTCAAATTATATGTACTTCAGTTTGTTAGCAGAAAAAAGCAATGGGATAAAGAAAGTTTCAATAGGGACAAAGTAAATTACAAAGGGAATACACCTATTTTTATTTTAAGGCAGAGACTAAATGAAGTTCATCCTAGTAATCCCAAAGATCAGCACTGTACTTGGTATATGGCAGGTGTAGAACAAATGTTAAGTTGGATGTTAAAGTAGCAATTAAAAAACAACAACAAAAAAGAAACCTATTTCACAAAATGGTTTCACATGTATTAGCCCATTTTATAAAAGCAGTATTGTATGATATAAAAGCAATTATTACATTCATTTGGAAGACAGGAAAATTAGGCAACAGTTTAAATTACTATTTCTTGGGTAATTTCTATGAGCAAATATCAAATCCTGTATTGGTCAGGTAGAATTACTGTTGTTGTAATAAAAAAATATTTTTTTACTTACATCCAAAATGTCATTTGATCAACACAATTAGTCTTTTAAATAGGTGTTATCATTTTAAACTGAGACTCAAAGATATTAAGTAACCAGATATCAGTTAGCTAGCCATTTGATCCTATACAAATACACAATGTTTCCTTGAGGCCACGTAGAGTAGAAGCTGCTATTCCCTTTCCAATGGACCATTCCATCCCCAAACATCCAGGTGATGCATGGGTGGAAATACGGGTAAAAACAGTCCTGCTGCATTCAAGCCAAAGTCATCGGAATGAATTCCTTTGTAAGCAACACAACTAAATAAGTTTGCCTAGGTTGCTTTCCCTCTCTTGGCTATCAATACTGTCTAGTTTTTTGAGGTCATATTTATATGCATAGACTTTCAGTTGGTGCTAAAGAATCTTGCCTCCTCTTTAGTGTATGCAACTATTCACCCTGTCAAATGCAATTCTTTGCAATTCAGCTCACATGATAGACTTTAAAATATAAGCAAGCAGAGCAACAAGCTACATCAGCAGCTGTGTCATTTCAGGTTACGTGTTTCCGACCTTTCTTCACAAAACTTGGGCTGCCGGAATGCTGACCTCCCGTTGCAGTCCACTGCCACAGGCTACCAGTCAAAGAGAAAGCAAGAGCTCTGAAGAGCAAGGGCAATGCAGCCGAGAAACTCCTGATTTGCCTCGTCTTACATTCCTGTCTTTTATCCTGCCATGCCAACTTGATGATTTATAAAGACGACCTTTTTCTATGGTTCCGACTTTCAACTTCAATTTAAGGACACTGTCTTTTCCTTTTAAATTTTGCTTCCAGTAAACAAACGTATAACATGACAGCATTTTATCTTTAGCTTTAACGTAGAAAGAGAGAGGGGGACAGGGAGAGAAAACAATCCAAAACAGAGAAATCTACAGGGTGTTTTAAATCGTGTCCTTTTCTCATACTTACATTGGAACTGTATGACTTTCAGCTGCTATATACTTCTATTTCCTCTTAGTGTGCTCCCATTTCTTATAAGGTTGTTTTTAGATACTTTAATATACTTGATTTTTTTGCAAATAAATATTTATATCAGTACAAAGGAAAACAGTAGTCCTCGATGCGGCCCACTGAGTCATTCCCACTTTTCTTTCGGATCATTGTTCCCTTTGCATAGAAGAAACATGAATTAAGTCTCTACAATTCCAATAACACAGACCTCTTTAAGGTATAATAATTAATCACTGATTATGAATAAATAATTCCTTGGTTATGAATAAATTATAATCTTTGACAATACACAATAGCCCTGCTGACTTTCTCTTACCTTTGCTAATCCTAATTCTAAAGATTTGCTCTTCTAATGAGCTTAGCTTAGCTCAGAGCCAGTTAAAACAGGAGCAAGGAGATGTCAGCCCTCTGTGTCCCTTCCCTTGAAAGGATAAATACTCAGTGAGCCATTCAAGACTTAGAGTCTGTGGGCAATCCATCCTGAATCCCTCCTGCATGTTAGGTCCAAATTCAAGAACTCTCATGGTCCTTACATATATATTTTTTTAATCTGCCTCTAGAATGGATTTAATCTCTAACACTTATCTCTCATCCTTGACAATAACTTTGAGTACCCTGATCTTCCTCTGCCTGCCCTGAGTCATTGTTGGTAGCTGAGGGCTTCCTCCTTCGAGATCCTGCTCATTCTCTTTCCTGGAACTAAACTATCTTCTTAATATCGCTGCCTCTTGTGGGGGCCCTGTTACACAGAAGGAAGATATCTCTAGATTCTTAATGCAAGCTGACTTGTATGGTCTAGTGATACTGGTTTCATAGACTGAGTTTCAAAACAGAGGTTGGCCAATAGAGGTAACTCTTCTTAGTTTTTGTTTGTTTGTTTAACTTTGAGCTCTGAGAGATTTGGCTCTCAGTGAATTACGGAAGACAGATTAATATTTGTAAGATCTAGGTTGAATTCAGGAATCTTTATTTCAAAAAAGCTTCTCAAGTGATTCTTGTGATTAGCTAAGGTTTGTAATCACCACACTATAAAATACTGCTAATTTTCCTAGATACCCTACAGGTACCCTAGCACGATAGAAGAAGGGTACTTTCCATTCCAAGTGAGCCTAAGGCCCTACTGTTAGAATTTTGGTGTTGGTTTCTGGAAATCCCCAAACTGATGACAAACAAGATAAATTAGTAGTTTCATATCGGGAATGAAACACAGTGCAGAAAAATATCACAGGTGGAAAGCATTTCCCAGAATAAAAGAACAAAATCCAAAAGAAAGGAGCTATCCTTGTTCTAGGTTCTGAATGACTGTCTGGTTTTGGTTTGCCCATGAAAGGATATGAAAATAACCCTAGAAATGTCAGTAAAGACAAGGGATAATGCCCTACCAAACAAAGAGGAGTACTCCTTATACTTGTGAAAGTAAACTATAGCAGACAAATTCACTGCATCTACCTAGTTGACTATAAACAAGGATAAACCTCATACTTAAAAAGCAAGAAAATTCCTGAGTGACAGAACCATTCACACCCTGAGATTTGCATCGTTTTCCAGGGCCATAAGTGATAGGATAAGCACACCTCATTTTTGTTGTTGATGTTAATCTTCACCCCAGAATATTTTTCCATTTTAGATAGAGTGGAAAGGAGGGGTGGGGGAGAGAAACATCTATATAAAGAATTGATCGCCTCCCACATGACCCCGATGGGGGCCGGGGATCAAACCTGAAACCCAGGTACATGCCCTTGACCAGGAATGGAGCCTGAGACCCTTCAGTCCATGGGCCAACACTCTAACCATTAAGCCAAACCAGCTAGGGCTCATTGAGTACTTTTGATGATTAAGTATTTTAATACATGCAATGTGCATAGTGCAGCCCCCAATACATAGTAAACATTTGGTTAATATTAGCCATTTAAATTTTGAAATTCCCACTATGTCTTTCTTAGAATGGAATGATTTTGGAAAGAAAGTTCAACCATAAAAATTGATATGAATGTACAGCCATAGAGGCATCACTGTGATCTGGCCAAAGGAAAATAGAACTTTTTTACATTAATAAAGAAGAAAGCCCTCTCCAGCCAAGTGCAGCTTTGGTAATCACCGGTTTGCTGTCAATAAAGGTGTCATTCATTGAAACTTCCTTTCCTCTTCTGTGTCTGCCTTTTCAAGAGATTTCTGAGGATTCATAAAAGACAGTTATTATTGCACTGAATGATTCTGGCCATTTGTGACTGTGGTGTCCTGTGGACATGTGGTTCTCTTGGGGGATGCTTCTGCTTGAGCAAACTTAGTCCTCCCAGTCCCAGTGCATTTCCAGCTAGTTTGAGGTTGTCCGTCTACTTTGCCCTATGTCCAAGCCTATTTAAATCTAACCATAGAAAATTTGGAAGAGAACATATGATATAATCTAGGCCAAATCTCCAGTTTTAAACTTGTGAAAAATGATACCCAGAATTTGCATAGGAATGACACCAGAAGTTAGAAGTTCTGAACAGCAGCCCAAGAGTCTTTCCAAGATATAGATTATGCTATTATTATCACTATTCAATTCGCTAGCCATTCAAAGAATTCTTCTTGCAAATAAGAGAAGGTAACCATTATTGGAGCTGACATGTGACAACTGCTTTGTTCTTTATGTGTATTAAAATCTTTTAACTCTCAAAACAATCCTTTGGGAGAAATTGCTGTTATTATTTCATTATTGTTAGTGAGGAAACTGAGACACAATGGAGGTAGGTTGTAAAATGCCCACCAGTTTCTAAGTGGCTAAACGAGAATCGGAAGCTAGTTCATCCGCCCACATTTTTAATCCACCAAATCAATTGACCAGGGAAATTTCTAGGCTATTTCTTGAGCAGCTGAATACAATTTAGGCTAGTTAGCTATGGAATGACTTACCCTATCTGTGAGATGAGGAGATTGGAACCAATTATCTCTAACAGCTCAAGCAGTTCTAAATTGTGATTTTATGTTACTATCTGCATCTCATCTGAGAAAATAAAGCTTAAGATTCATAAAGCCCTCAATAGCAGCAAAACTCACTACAAGATCAGAGAAATAATAAGTCAAAACATTTTTTGTCGGTTTATAACAATTCCTTATTACTATAATGCACTTGACATAATACTATTTTTTTTTAGTGTAATGAATTCTACAAATCAGACATCACAAACAATTATTAGTCATTTTAGACAATATTTAGACTACATCAGTTAGTAATAAACCTAAAATTTTAGTGAGTACTTTCAAACTATTAATAACTTCTCAATTTCATTTTTTTTTTTGTCATCTTAGAGGTAAATTGATATGAAAGAGAGATTTTACCTTCTCAATAGGATTCATGAATGCACAAATTGAATACTTCTCTATAATTCTCTTTGTAATGCCAATAGCTATTATTTTTACCATGTTTTTTTCCTAAAATAAACACAGTCCTCTTTACCTTCTAGAAACATAAATTATTTTCTTTAAAATTTTTTTTTATTTATTGATACATTTTTGGGGGAGGAGAGAGAAAGGAAGAGGGAGAGAGAGATAGAAACATCAATGAAAGAGAACATTTGATAGGCCACCTCCTGT